ACCACCATCAACTCAAATTTTTATAGGAGTAGAGAGATGTGGCTAGTCGGGAGAGACATGGCGTTATTTAAAAATATCTACATCAATGCGGGCGCCTTTTGCAAAATCATCACAAATTGCCTCTTGTCCGTTAGATGCAGATCTGATGGTTGTAAATCAAGAATGGCAGACACACCATCGTCACCAACTCAGATTTTTATTAAAGTAGAGAAAAGAGAAAAAAACCAAGCAAACGAGGAGGCGGCCTCCCACTGTTTGGCTCAGCTCAGATATCTCATCTGACCCCCCCCCCCCTTCGTCGCCTTACTCTCCTCTCCTTCGACGGCCTCGCTGCACTCTCCTCCTCCCCGCCGCTGCCGGCGGCGCCTGCGTCCGACAACGAGCGATCCCTCTTCCCTCGGCTCCGGGGAGCATCGTCGCCGTCCTTCTCCGCGTGTAGCGGTGGAGGGCGGGAGGAGGCACCGGCTGCTCTCGTACTGGTAAGACGAACTGCCCCCACAAATTCACCTTATTTTCTTTACCAAATATACATAAGATTTCAGTTATGAGCAACACCCACATTGATAGAAAAGAAGCCACCATTAGTCCCCTGGACCCTCCCCTATTACCTGGTTTTTTCTTAGTAGCACTGTAGCAGGGCTGTAGATTTTAAAGTACAACATTGTGGAGAATATACATACACCTATTGCAGCATTAGAATAGGCCGCCCCATTTCTTGTATGAACTGCCTGTTGCGTGTATGATCGATGTATCTGTTTTGACCAGTAACGTTTGTAAAGCATTCCAAGCTACACATCACAAAATCCCAAGCTACACATCACAAAATCTCAAGAGCTTCCTTTTGCAAATTGCATAGGCTTGATTTTTGCATCTGAAAAAGATGATAAAGTGGCCAAGGTCGTCAAAACAACCAACAACAATTTGCCTATAGCATTCACATTGGCCAGCAAGTGCTCGTGAGTTAGACTCCAAGAGCATATATCCACTTTGCGCACGAGCGTTTCTCTGTCGACCTCGCGGTGCAGATAATGTCGCCGGACGGCCGGAGGAGAAGGACTGCTCCGGCGAGGCCCCGGCAAGCAGCGACCCGATGCTGCTGAGTGTCGTTTCTGGGTGCCCAGCTCAGCTCAGATACACTCAAAAAAAAAAAAACGAGGAGACGGCCTACCACTGTTTGGGCCGACGGACTCCGGCCCTGTACCCCCGTGTCGCGGTCTCGCGGCCTGATTTCTTGCCGGCCCCGTAACCGTAGCAAACTTCGTCGCCTTACTCTCCTTTCCTCCGATGGCCTCGCCGCAATCTCCCCTCGACCTCCTCCCCGTAGCTGCCGGCGGCGCCTGCGTCCGATAACGAGCGAGCCATCGTCCCTCCGCTCCGGGGAGCGCCGTCGCCGTCCTTCTCCGCGTGCGGCGGCGGAGGGCGGGAGTAAGCGCCCGCTGCTCTCGTACTGGTAAAGATGAACTGCCCCCACAAATTCACCTTATTTTCTTTACCAAATATATAAGATTTCAGTTATGAGCAACACCGACATTGATACTACTGTAGAAAAGAAGCCACCATTAGGGTATAGGGACTCTGCCTCCTCCCCTATTACCTGATGCAATCGCAACACATGGGCAGTATCAGTATGCAGTATGCACACATTACTGCAGATTAGTCATCACTGACGTGTTCTTGCAGTAAATACTTGTATTATTACATTTAAATAGTACGCTGAATCAATGATTGTATGAATGGTCCATCTCTCTTTTTTATGATAGTTAATTTGCCAATTTATACTACTCTTCTGATTGCATCACGTAATGAAGGAACTGCATGCATACCTGCATATATGCTACATGATTTTCTGCTTATTATGTAGGATTCGGGCACCAATTGCAAAAATCTTGCCAGTTCACACTTTCTAGTTATGGATTTTGGCTGCTTTTTCCACGGTAGTTTCTTCATAGCAATATTTGAATTTAAAGGATCACATATCTCTTTGACATGTCTAGAACATTTGAATTTAAAGGATCACATATCTCTTTGACATGTGCCAAACCCCAAATAGCGCTGACTAAGTTGAATTTAGTGGTATGGATAAGCGCAATCATCCCTACCTTTTTTTCTTTCCCGTAGATTTGGCAGAACACTGGCGGTGGTCAATCGCTATGACGAAAAGAGGCCACATGACCGTCCTTGACGACCTACCCGAGTGGATTGTCATCGAAGAGATCCTCGTCCGGTTGCCCCCCAAGGATGTCCTTCGCTGCCGTGCAGTCCGAAAGTTATGGCGCAGTACCACCTCCACCGATAAGTTCATGCTCGACAACCGTTGCCGCCAGCCCTCGCTCCCTGTCATCAGACAGTATATCCATGAGAAGAGTGCATTCAGGTTCGTTGTCTTCCGTGATAACGGGGCTATAGCCTCCGATCAAAAACTCTGGCCAATCATCCAGCTCTCTAAGTTCCATAAACTCCTGGGCGCCTGTGATGGCTTTCTCATCTTGTCTGGCGGATCCGATTTTTGGATCTGCAACCCAGCCACTCACAAATGTGCTCCACTACCACAACCTCGAGATCCATCGTCATCACGAGGGGGTTCCCACATCTACATAGCCGGCTTTTACCGGCACCATCCATCTGGGGAATACCGAGTGCTCTGTTCTCCCATGGCTGCCAACGTGGCTACGTTCTCACGGTAGGATCCGACAAGCCGAGAATCATCAGTCGGCCATCAGTATCATCGCGTTTGCCGAAATGCAAGCGCCAAGGGGTCTTCGATTCCCGCTTTAGTTCACAAGTCTACCACCACTGCAGCATGCACTGGTTAACAGGAATCTACATGGAGACTGCCGTGGACATTATGGTGTTTGACACAATTACTGAGACGTTCCGGTGGATGCGCAGTCCTGACCAGTTGGGCTGTCGGGTGTCGTTGTTGGAGATGGGCAACAAGCTTGCTTCATGTAGCCACAATGTTGGCAGCATAGAGATTTGGGTGATGCAAGACTATGAGGCTGAGGCCTGGGCCTTGAATTACAGGATTAACTTGGTAACGATGAAGACACCACCACAGCTTGATTTTAGTGTGAGACGTATTTCTAATATAGCACTGCTTAACAAGCGTGAGCTGCTGATCTGGTGTTGGACTCCATCGTGGGGTCATGACTATCTGTTGCACTATGACATTGACGAAAAGTTGTTGGGATGTTACAAATTGAAAGATGGAACGTATTCAGTATACTTCACTAATCAGTACATTCAGGAGAGCATGCTTCCACTTCCGTTCTGTGAGATGCAAGAAGAAGGTGGTGTGGATAAGGTACCTCCATTCCTGATAGTGCTATAAGGTGGTTTGTACTTCTAGTTTGCCATGTGTGCCTTTGGAGTATCCATGCTTTATGAGTATGGTCCTAGTTCTTACTTAATAATACTAGTAGAACTGAAAAATCTGTATGGCTGTGCTAGCACTTTTGCTACCATCTGGTTCCTTTTGTGCTGTCTTGAGCGTCATAATGATGTGTTGGAGTATCTATGCTATTTCTTCCCCGATTATTTTCATTTCGAATCGTCAAGTAGTGTGAATGGCACTGGCTGCAATTTGATATGCTAATTACCTCTGAAGTTGTTAATGTGAGGGATGAATTCATGCTAGTAGAGAATAAGTGCAGCAATGACAGGCCATTTAGTATCATTGCTAAGAAATAGTACCATCAATAAAATACCAGAGATGGGGGGAGATATGCGCTCTGCCGATAGAAGTTAGTTGTGGGACTTTTAGGTAGGTGTTGGAATGGTTAGTACGGATCTTTGCTTGGGTTAATAGTTAGATATTCGCTGCTCTGTATCTGTATGTGATTTGGGTTTAACCCCAAAGTAGAATATCTCGTGGTACCCGGTTCCTCCTGGTCTTTGTTGTGTGAAGATGTATTGTTAATTGGGGATACTTGCGTAGTTTCTTAGCACAATTATATTTCTTCCAGTAAGTGATCTGGTTCCCATTCTTGAGTTGAATTTGGTTTCTTGACCTTGTCCTGTTTGGGTAAAGTATCGTGCCTGCATTTTCTCTCTATGCAACCAGACTAGTGGATGGATACTAGCACTCTGAAACTGTTGCTGAAGGTCCATGTTGCTGCCCTTTCCAAGTTTTTTCTCGTTTCTGAAAAACGATTGCACCACATGCTTTCTGGGGTTAATGAATCAATAGACCACTTGGTTGGCACTGGTCTGGGACAATTCGTTTGGTCTGAAATAAAATAAATGATGGTAATGAATGTTCTGTTATGTGGGATCTGGAAGGCAAGAAATTTGGTTCCTTCCAATAGACGACAGAAATTTTAGCCAGCTTGGCGAAAATCTGTAACTGAACTTGTGGTGTTTATGGAACAACTTGCAGCTGAAGCAGGGCATCACAGGAGGTTCTCAGGCAGAATGCAGGAACCCTGGAGCCTTTTTGCAAGAGGAAGCCTTTGCCAGCTTGTTAAGCTTTCTATATTTGTCGATGGCATTTTTGTTAGTTAATAAAAATATTAACAGTATAGTTTAATTAGCAATTTGGCAGCTTGACGTACCCAGTTGGGCAAGTCTTTCCTAGTGTATGGTGTGAGTCCGATTAGGACTTTGTGTGTTGCTTGCCATACGAGCTGTACAAGCTGGTGTCACATATAGATTCGGAGTAGGAGTAGGTTCAAATTAGTTGGTGTCCGTCTACGTCTAGGACATGATTCGGCCATGTTTATATACATAGCCAGACCATAGGCCGTGACAAACAAACGTCAGATTTTTGATCGAGAAATCAACAACGACCAGCCGGCTGCTAGTAAACTCTCTTTGTTTCCGAGGGTTTTTATACGAGAAGCGATGTCGGCGCGCAGCGAGGGGAGCGACACGCGAGGCCGCCGGAGTGACCAGGTTTGTCCTCCACCTCATTGTTCCCGACTCTGAAATTAACTCAACTAAGAGTGTCAGTGGTGACCTAGTAGAGATGGATTCCTTATGGGCTAGCATGTAGGTTCGTCATGTCATCATTCTCCGGTGTATCTATCGTCGATGGCTACGACAGGTGCTACTGCAAGACATCGGCCGTCGAAGCCGGCACGGACAGCGGCTACCATCTCCTTATGGTAAATGGCTACTCGCGTACCAAAAAAGAGAAGCCCACCGGCATGAGCATCACCAGCTCTCGTGTTTTTGTGGTAGGAGGACATGCTTGGTTACTAGAGTACTACCCTAATGGCAAGAACCCGAACTGCGCCGACTTCATCTCTCTCTGTGTCCAAGGTGATGGCAAAGTGAATGCTAGGATCAGCTTTTCTCTCGTTGACCAGGTTGAGAAGCAGATGCCAATGTACATTCGTGCAACTAATAGAGCTTGCAGGTTCGTCGACAGTCATGGTAATGTTCTCTGGGGCATCAATAAGTTTCTCAAAAGAGATGCCCTTGAGCGATCGGCGAATCTGAAAGGTGATTCTTTCACCATCCGGTGTGACATAATGGTTTGCAAGGATCCTAGTACCGAGGATCCCGGTGGCCATGACACCAAGGTGCTCCTGTCTGACATGGACCGGCATTTTAACATTCTCCTTCAGACCAAGGTGGGTGCTGATGTGACATTCGAGGTTAGTGGCGAGACATTCAGTGCACATCGTTGTGTGCTTGCAGCCCGGTCCAAAGTCTTCATGGCACAACTCTTTGGCCCCATGAAGGAGGGCACTACTACGTCTGGCGTCATACATATCAAAGATATGGGAGCAAACGTGTTCAGGGCGTTGCTTAGATTCATCTACACAGACTCATGCCCTGAAATAGAGAAGGACTTCACGGAGGAGGCGGAAGAAATGTCTCAAGTACTAGAAGAAGGACAAGAAGATGAAACAATAGAGGATGAGATGTGGCTGCAATGGCTTCAAGACTTGTTTGTGGCGGCGGACAGGTACGATCTCCAACGACTCAAGTGCATATGTGAAATGCAATTGTCTGATAACATAGGTGTGAGGTCGGTGATGTCCACTCTTGCTCTAGCCGAGCAACACGACTGCCAGGGATTGAAGGAGGCATGTTTGAAGTTTATCCAAGTCCAGTCTTCCTCGTGCTTGCAAACAGTAACGGCCACTGATGGTTGGGATCATGTAGTTTCGACCTATCCCTCAGTTTTGAAGGAGCTCGTCGTCAAGCTTGGTTCAAACCAACAAAAGTAACACTCTGATCCCCTTATGCAGATACGGGACACACTAGAGAGGTCGTAGTCAATGTGTCTCGCTTTTGATTTGCTCGTCATGTATATAGTTCGCCTATTTGTTGAATCGGAGAAATCAAACGTGCATGGATATGGTCAAGCGTCAAAATGATATGCATTGCAGCAACGTGCAAGTTTCACACCTAGGCTTTTTATCCTCGTATATATTTCTCTGTGCATTGTCTCGTATATTGTTGCTCTGTGCCTGCCGTGTTATGTAACCTTTTTCTAGTGGCTACCAATTAGGAAGCACGAATGAATGCTGATGTTTTTGGGAAGGCGTCTTATGAGAATACTCATTCAGCGAAAATCTAAAAACTTCCGGTGTTCGCCTTCGGATCGACGAGGAATGACACTATGGGAGGTGGGATCCTAAACCTGTCACTTAAACGCAATTTTACAGATAATCCTCCTCGTCTTTATCCACGATCTGAAAAGCTATTGGTGGTTCAGCTTCAATTTCTTCGGCTTCGATTTGCTGAGCGACGGAGACATGTCCAGCGCTGATCACGACGTGCCTTAGCTGGGTGGGAGCCCTTGCCTTCCTCCACCAACGACATGCCGCAACAACCGATGGTGGAGCTGCCATCCCCCATGGCCATGCACCTGCTGGAGCGGTGGATGCCATGACGGTAGCCTGCAACAGCAAGCACCGGGGAGGCAGCCACAACCGGCTGTCCTCGTAACGGCGATGACACAGGAGCACCGCGTCGAAGCTCTGCTTGGTGGGGAGGCGCACCAACGACATTGGTCGTGAACGACAACATCTCGGTGGTCGTACCTGCCCGATGTGATGCCAAAGCTTCCTCCGAACCTGAACGTTGGGGTGTTTTGTGAACACACACTTATATTGAAGTGACTTTGTCTCAACCTGAAAGTTCCGATGTATGTGAACACACAGCTGTAATGAATATGTCGTTTTGTTATGCAGCTTTGTTGCACATAATCTAGTTAAATTTTTGAAATTTGTAAAATTTTCATGAACACAAAGTTTTGATATGCAGCTTTGCATGCACTGTGAATGTGTAGAAGGAAAAACGATGTGTGTAGAGGACAGGAAATCTAAATACAAAGCTTGTTTGAGTGTGTAAAGGAAAAAAAATCTAAATACAAAACTTACATTTGAATGCACTTATGAGCCCTTTTCTTCTGTTTTGAATAGAAAGCAAAAATCTGAAGACAAGGTTTTGATATACAAAAATCGACTTAACAAAAGTATGGAGAGAAAGAAGAAGCTAAATACTATATCTTCTCTGAACACAAAACTTACTTGAATGCACTTATGAGCTCCTTTTCCTATGTTATAAATAGAAAGCAAAATTCCGCAAAAAAATACAAATTCAAATATAGCACAAAAGTTTGATCGATGGTATTTTTGTTAATAGAAATATTAACAGTATAGTTTAATTAGCAATTTGGCAGCTTGCCGTACCCAGTTGGGCAGTCTTTCCTAGTGTATGATCTGAGTCCGATTAGTACTTTGCGTGTTGCTTGCCATACAAGTTGTTACATATAAGATTCGGAGTAGGAGTAGGTTCAAATTAGTTGGTGTCCGTCTAGGACATGATTCGGCCATGTTTATATACATAGCCAAACCATAGACCGTGACAAACAAACGTCAGATTTTGATCGAGAAATCAACGACGACCACCGGCGGCTAGTAAAGGGTTCTTACACTAGAAGAAGCGACGTCGGCGCGCAGCGAGAGGAGCGACACGCGCGGCCGCCGGAGTGACCAGGTTTGTCCTCCACCTCATCGTCCCCGACTCTGAAATTAACTTAATTGAGAGCGTCAATGGTGACCTAGTAGATGGATTAATTCCTTGCGGGCTAGCAGGTAGCTTCGTCATGTCATCATTCACCGGCGTATCCGTCCTCGAAGACAACGTGGGGTCCTATTGCAGAACATCGGCCGTCGAGGCCGGCACGGACAGCGGCTACCATCTCCTTATGGTCAATGGCTACTCGCGTACCAAAGAAGAGAAGCCCACCGGCAAGAGCATCAGCTCTGGCGCTTTTGTGGTAGGAGGATATGCTTGGTTACTAGAGTACTACCCCAATGGCAAGCACCCGAGCTGCGCCGACTTCATCTCTCTCTACCTATCCCTTGTTCACGACGATGGCAAAGTGGATAGCAAAGTGGACGCCACCTTCAGTTTTTGTCTCGTCGACCAGGTTGAGAAGCAGATGCCAATGTACATCCGTGCAACTAATAAAGCGACCAGGTTCGAGAGCGCTGGTGATTATTCCTGGGGCATCCATGAGTTTCTCTGAAGAGATGCCCTTGAACGATCGGCGAATCTGAAGGGCCACTCTTTCACCATCCGGTGTGACATAATGGTTTGCGAGGACTCCAATACCGAGGATCACGGTGCCCACGACACCAAGGTGCTCCTGTCTGACATGGACCAGCATTTTAACATTCTCCTTCAGACCAAAGTGGGTGCCGATGTGACATTCGAGGTTAGTGGTGAGACGTTCACCGCACACCGTTGTGTGCTTGCAGCCCGGTCTAAAGTCTTCATGGCACAACTCTTTGGCCCCATGAAGGAGGGCACTACTACGTCTAGTGTCATACATATCGAAGGCATGGGAGCAAACGTGTTCAGGGCGTTGCTTAGATTCATCTACACATACTCATGCCCTGAGATAGACAACGAGTACATGGAGGAGGAGCAAGAAATGTCACAAGTTCTGGAAGAAGGACAAGAAGATGAAACAACAAAGGATGATATGTGGCTGCAACGGCTTCAAGACTTGTTTGTGGCGGCGGACAGGTTCGATCTCCAACGACTCAAGTGCATATGTGAAATGCAATTGTCTGATAACATCAGGAAAACAGGTGAACACCACATACATATTTACAACCCCCGCGTCGCTCCCGCAGGGGCGACTCGGGCGGCGTAACCCTAGCCAGCCGCCGGCCCTTTCCCCCACCTCTCCTCTCCCCCGTCGCCACCGGAGGTGGCCGCCGGCTCGCCGCTCGGGCGCCGGTGAAGGTGGCAGCGAGGATCTGGCCGCCCCGTTCTTCCTCGGGGGGCTTTGGATCCGTGGCGGCGGCCTCGACTGGTGGATCGACGCCGGGTCTGCGGTGACCGGTGCTCGTTGGTGCTGTCCGTTCTTCCTCGGCCGCGGGGGCGGCGAGGCGGCGGCAGGTGGCGGCTGTGGTGCGGGCGTCTCGGCGGCGCCCGATCCAGATCTGAAGGCCTCCGTCTAATTCAACCAGGGCTGCCTCCGATGGTCCTGCTCTGGGCGGCCTTTGTCGCCGGAGTTGTATCTGTTTGGCGGCTGGAGGTGGGAGGTGGCTCCGGAGAAATCCAAGGCCAGCAGTGCTGGCCACGACGGCGGCGACGCCCGAGGGCGCCGTACCCTTCTTGTAGGCGCCGTCCAGGTTGCCTCCTTCCCCTCCTCCTTCCACCTAGCTCGTATGCCGGGCGAAAGCCCAAATCCTTCCGGATCGAGCGACAGCGGCGCTCTGGGCATCGTCACCCTCTTGGGGGTGTCGTTCGTGGTGAGCTTGGGGTGGGTGTGATGCTTTGGTTGCTTGGTGGCGGTTGGTGGCGTGGTCGGAGTTCGTCTGGTGGCGGTGCGTTGGTGCTCTGCCGCCTATGTGCTCAGCCTTGGAGTCCTTCTTCCACGGTGCTTGGTCTTCAGCAGCCCTGCCGTACTCGGCGGAGCGATGCTTCATCTCACACATCGATGGCGGCGGTTATCAGCGGCATGGCGCTGTGGAGCTCGGCGTCCGATGCGCGGGATGGACTCGCGCAGGAGGAGGTAGTTGTCTGGCGTCATGGTGACGTCGATGGCTGAGTGGCCAGACAAGGTAGATGCCTCAATATGATCTGAAGACAGACCTGTGGAAGATGGCGGCGACGACACACGATTGCGTCTGACCGGATTGTGCCCCAGACCCGGTATGTGGCTCGGCTGGGGTTTCCGGCTTTTGATGTTAGGCTTAGGTGAGTGGTCTGAGTGGCCCAGTTAGCACCCCTTCATCGTATGGATAGGAGTAGCGGCATATGTTGCCAAGATGATGAATTCAGACATATTGTTGTAATACTTTGTAAGGTCCTAAAAAATAATCAATAAAGTGGCCGTATGCATCTCCCAGATGCAGAGGCCGGGGGTCATCCTCCTTTTCTAAAAAAAAAGGTGTGAGCTCAGTGATGTCCACTCTTGCTCTAGCCGAGTAACACCACTGCCAGGGATTGAAGGAGGCATGTTTGAAGTTTATCCAAATCCAGTCTTCCTCGTGCATGCAAACAGTAACAACAACTGATGGCTGGGATTATGTTGTTTCGACCTATCCCTCGGTTTTGAAGGAGCTCTTCGTCAAGCTTGCTAAAAACCAACAAAAGTAACACTCTCCTGTGTGGTACACATGTTCCTCAGCTATACCTGGAATGATCCCCTTATGCAGATACGGGATACTCTAGAGAGAGGTCGTGGTCCATGTGCCTCGCTTTCAATTTCCTCGTCATGATATAGCTCGCATATTTGTTGAACCATAGAAATCAAACGTGCATGGATATACGGAGTAGTTGCCAAAAAAACGTGCATGGATATTCAAAATGATATGCATGGCAGCAACGTGCAAGTTTCACACCTAGGCTTTTTGTCCTCATATATTTCTCTGTGCATTGTCTCGTACATTGTTGCTTTTATGCCTACCGTGTCACGAAACCCTTTTTTAGTGGCTACCAATCAAGAAGAACGACTGCATGCTGGTGTTTTTGGAAATGCGTTTTATGAACCTGGATTTAGATTAAGGGAAAAGAATGTGACGGCAATAGTGTGAATTTAATTTGTAGTCTGCAAATTGCAACAATATATAAAAAAGAAGTATTCGGTGAAAACACTTATTCAGTGAAAATCTAAAAACTTCCGTTGTTGGCCATCTGATCTACGGGGAATGACACATATGGGAGGTGCAATCCTAAACCAGCCACTTAAATGCAATTT